GCAAATGGTACATGGATCAGAAAGTTAGAGTACGACTGGACAGAGGGGAGACAGGAAGTGTGAAGATTGGAAGAGGAGTTCGACAAGGATGCTGTTTATCACCAATTTTGTTCAACTTGTACAGCGAATGCCTTAACAAGGAAGCGCTGGATGGGCTTGGAGACTTCAAATTAGGAGGTCAAATTCTTCAAACTGTGAAAAATGCAGATGACCTTGTGTTAATGGCTAAGGAAGAAACTGTGCTACAGGGCATGATTGATAGACTAATTGAAATTGGAAGGTGCTATGGCATGGAAATGAATGTGGAGAAAACAAAAGTAATGAAAATTTCGAGACAACCAACCCCAGTCACAATAAAGATAGACCAAAAACAACTGGAGAATGTGAAATGTTAAATATTTGGGTAGCTTGTTAACAGATGATGGAAGGTGTACTAGTGAAATTAAATCCAGGATAGCCATGGCAAAAGCTGCATTTAGCAAGAAGAAGAATCTTTTTACCAGCAAATTGGACTTAAATTTGAGGAAGAAACTAGTGAAATGCTACATTTGGAGCATTGCCCTGTATGGGGTGAAACATGGACACTTAAGGCAGTAGATGAGAAACATCTGGAAAGTTTCGAAATGTGGTGTTGGAGAAGGATGGAGAAGATCAGTTGGACCGATTACGTGAGAAATGAAGAAGTGTTAATTAGAGTCAGTGAGCAGAGGAATATCCTACACAAAATAAGAAAACGGAAGGCTAATTGGATTGGTCACACCTTACGCAGTAACTGCCTTCTAAAAGAAGTTACTGAAGGAAAGATAGAGGGGCGGATAGAAGTGACAAGAAGACAAGGAAGAAGAGGTAAGAAGATGCTGGATGACCTTGGGGACAGAAGAGGGTATTCTCATTTGAAGGAGAAAGCTCTAGATCGCATTAAGTGGGGGAACTCTTTTGGAACAGACCGTGGACCTGTCGTCTTGACAGATTACTGATGATGATGAAGAGGGTTTAGAAGAAAACAGAGTTATCCGGACACCAACTTTGAATACTAGCAAGACACTGTTTCGCAGTACAGCATGTCAGGCCTTACTGTTGTTTCGCCAAACCATTCGTAGTCCACGAATTCCAACTGCAGCCATCTTAGCTCCATTTTACTTTCAGAAGAGAGAGAGAGCCGTGTGAAGGTGAAGGAAGGACGTAATCGTTTTAAACTGAACAAACATGGCGCTCAGCCGCTAACCAGTGTCTCTTTTCCTGAAGTACATTTCGCGGAATGCTAAAGTAAACTGATAAAGTAAATAATGTTTCATAAACGGGCTCTTTCATGTACGCACCTTTATGGTTTAGACGCGGTCAAGTACTGCAATTACATAGCGTCTGTTGTCAGAATAAGCAATGAGTAATGTATAGGAAATTATGCTGAAACAAGTGTTCGTGTTCTCATTTGACGTATATCTCGGTATTTTCCTGGAAGGATTTAGGAAAAGCACAACAAATCTCAAGCACCTCGATGTCCGAGGCAGAATTCGAACCGTTCACTTCCAGAATACAAACAAACAAACAAAAACAACCTCAGTGGCCTGTAGTCCGCAAACGACCTATACCGACCGAGCGACCGCCGCCTGTCGGCGAAGTTAGTGTCAACTTTAGCGGATAGAGGGTGTCGCGTGGTCAGCGCAACGAATCCCTATGGCCATTAATTTCGGTTTTCTATACCGGAGCCGCTATTTCCTTGAAATAGCTCCCCGGTTATCCTCACGAGGCTGAGTGAACCCCGTTCCAGACCCACTACATCTCAGAAAACCTGGTAGCGCCCGGAATCGAAGCCGGATCTCTGGATCTGTAGGCAGGAACTCTGACCACTAGACCACAGAATATAAATTAGAAAAGTTACCGCTTGAGCTAACTTGCTCAGTGTGACGACAAACAAGAAGAATGCAAAAAGTATCGGCCTGATCTATTTAAGCTACACTGCAACATGTGCTTCAGTAATTAATTTATATAATTAAACTAAGTTTGTACAAAGCAGTACAGTAGGATGAATGTGAATGGTTACTTAACAACATATAAAAAAATAGCTCAGATAGTGTAATGGGTATAGCAACTGGCTACGAACTGGACGGCCGAAGGGTCGCTGTTTGCGTCCCGGTAGGGTCAAGCATTTTCTCTTCTTCATGTCGTCCAGACCGGCTCTGGGGTCCACCCAACGTCCTATCCAATGGGTACTGGGGACTCTTTCCCCGGAGTTAATGCGGTTGGGGCGTGAAGATGACCACTACAACTAGTTCCGAGGTCAAGAAAATGTGGATCTACACATTGATTCCCCCATACGCCTTTATATAGTAGTGATTAATTAGCTAAGCACAGGGCCAACTTTACCTTTATGTGAAAGGAATCATTGATGGCTTTGTTTATAGTACTATCGCAGTATGTGCCTGACAGAACTGAGTAAAACTATGAAGAATCAATCAGTACAAGATGACATTTTATAAATAAAGCAGAGCGGCACATTTGTCTCAAAAGACGTAGAGAATCTAAAAAAATACCCGTGCCACATTTCAAGAGGTCAGTCGCCGGCTTAACCCCGCATCGGCCAGGATTCGATTCCATGTCTGGTCATGCGGGACCTGTGATGGATAAAGAGGCACTGGGGCAGGTTCGATTTGCTTTGCCAATTCTCTCTTCAGAAAATTCTCCATATCCATCTACTCTCAACAGTAACCTTTGTATTGTCACGTGTAGGGGTGACTATTAGACGGGGTTTGGATTGGATGTTTGTATCTATTTCACTCACACTCAACTCGTAATTACAAGTAATCTCCACACTTTATAGTTCACTGTTCCAAACACTATTCTTCTCAGTTTGCGTTCACTAGTAGTCTCCTAGTTAATAGCAGAGATTATTCCAGTCTCACAATAACCGCAGCAAACTTAAAGTCTTTTCATCACGGCTAGACTTTCAAATGAACTGAACTGAACTGTGATGCCTCAGTCCCTCAATTCAGTTACATCCCTCGATTCTTCTGCTCCCAAACCCGCATCCTGACAGGCTGGCGTCTCGAAATTCAACTGACCCAGCTGACCTGGAGTCCTTCTTATATAGCTTAGGTGCGGACCCAACAGAAAACACCGTTTCCTAACAATCCCTTCATTGTAAGATTTGAGGCTTTCACGGCGGTGACTATGAAGAAAGCAGTCTTCTGGGATTTGGCACCGTGTATAAGTGGTGTTAACCGACGTTTCGGAGGAACGTATCGCCAGTCTGCTTTTACCGTTCTCACGGTCTTGTCGCTTGCAGATTTCTTATAGTTTTTCTTCTACCCTGAAGATGGAGGCGATACGTTCCTCCGAAACGTCGGTTAACTTATACACGGTGCCAAATCCCAGAAGACTGCTTTCTTCAATCCCTTCATTGTTTACTGCGTATTTGTTACGGCGAGATGTTTACCAAGTCGTTGCCTAGCAATGAACGTTTACTCTGGCTACATTATTCCGGCTCTCAGGCGTCATGTCAGAGTACCAAGCTTACTTGGGCTTACAGCACATGCGAAACTTAACTACGTGGCTACTTCGCGCGGACAACGCGCCATTATGGAGAACGGTTCTGGTGTCTCCACACAAGGCAATTACCAGCATCACACTCCACAGTGCTTGTGGCAATTACAAGACTGAGCCAAATATCCAAGTTGGGGTTTTCAGATAACCTACCGCCCAGCTGCACCACAGCAAGTTAAATTTCTGGCACATCTCCCAATGTCTCCCCTCTCTTGCCGCTGACCCCACCTAGACGCTTGGCGTCGCGTCGGCTCGCCCCGTAGCCATCTTGTTCGTCCTCTCCTGCCGCTCAGAGAGGAGACGGCAACGAACAAGCAGGCTGGAATGACGTGGGATTCTTCGACGGTTCGCGTGAGTATTCTGTGTTTAGTAAGATTCGTCGCATTCAGGTGATTCGGGCTTGGTTCGCTGCTTTGCATCTATGTGCCAGTCTAGTTATAAGTTTAATCTGTGCGCCTTACACGGAGGAAGTAATAGGATAATGGAGAAAATTACATATAACAAGTGAATTCATAATCTATACGCTTCAGCAACTGTTAAGCAGGACCTGAGGTCACAGAAATAGTAATGAAGAATTCTATCCTATGAAATATCCCAGAAGATAGTACTCAACTATTAGGTAGGTTAAAAAAAGATGATAATTTGGACACGTAGTATGAATGGTTGCATGAGAAAAAGAAGTATATCAAAATTTTAGTCGAAACTTCTGAAGGGAAAATCAGTAGATAATGGGACAATGATCTAAGAATAAAGAGATGTGTAATGGATTCATCTGGCTCAGGATAACGACCACGGCAATGTACCTACGTGCACAGTTTCTTGACTAGATACGCGGTAACCGTGTTCCCAAGAAGAACTCTTCTCAACTGAGTTATTGCTTATCCTTTTCTGTGCCTCTCATATTTCTGCTGTACGTGATATGACTATCTCCGCTTCAATCTTAAACATTAAAGTCTACTTATAGTCTCGCTATTTTCGCCGGAATTTCTGTTTATACTGTATGTCTGTGTGTATTGTCTCGAGGGGCACGCGGTAGCGTAATTGGTTGAGGCACTGTGCTACAAGCTGGAAGGTCACGGTTTCGTTTCCCAATAAGGTCACTGCATTTTTCAATTGACCTAGTCCTTCCAGCCGCACTATGACCCTGGGGTCCACTCAGCCTCTAACAGAAATGAGTACCAGGAATCTTCCTGGGGGTAAAGGGCGGCCAGCGCGTAAGGCTGACAACCTCACCGCCATATGTAAGCCGATTATCCAGAGAAAATGTGGGAGCCTCCACGTCTCACAACGCTATGGGGCTCCACGGCCTGTTACAGGGATACTTCTGCCTTTTTTACCCTGTACTGTATCGTGGTATAATCTGTGTCCTGCGTCTTTTTATTTGTCTCTACCGTTTTCTTATTCTGTTACTCTCTCGTATCTGTCCGCCTACGTAAGTTCGTATGTGTATGTCTCCCCCCCCCCCTCTATTGCGCACATTCAACTAGGCTGCTAATAATATAATAAATATTTATTTCCAAATACCCATCTTGATTATCCCCACTCCTCTCCTGCCTGTACAGAAGACGTATTTACCGACCGCTTTTTTCTTTAATCTCTTGTTTTATCACTCGTTTTTACTTCCGTGGTGGGTTGCATCCTGCAAGAAGAGAAGTCGATTCCTGGTAAGGTCAGGGATTCGCTTGTCTTCGCTACAGTGCCAAGACCGGTTTCAAGACACACCCAGCTCCTATCTAAACGGCCCCTGAGGGCAAAACAGCAGCTGACCACTCACCTCCATTTAGTGCCGCGGTTAAACGAGAAGGCGCGAAATATCCTCCAATAATCTGTCAGCTTTATTGTTCACCTTTTATTAATTTCTCTCTCTGCTCTATCCGTGTCTCTGTTTTTAGCCTAATTTCCTTATTTAAAAAAAATATGGAAAATAAAATAAAAATAAGATGTGGCTTATGAGATCACCTTGCTGTCTGTGTGTATATCCTCCAATTTCTTTTTTCGTTTTCTGCTCAGTCCGTGTGGTATCAAAGAAAAGAACGCGATTAGTCTTCTCTTTCTTTAGATCTGTCTCTGTCTTGCTTCTTTCATGTATGTCAATTCCTGGCTCTTTATCAAATTTTGTTTGCTACCTTCCTTTGCGTGTTTAAACAAGTGATATAATCCCTCCCCCATAATTGATCTTTCCTCTCTCTCTCTTCCTCACCTATTTCCTTCTCCAATGTCTGTAAGTCCTGCGTGTCTGTCGACCTCGTGTGTTGCATTCTCTCCCTCGTAAAACCTCTGATAAATATGTTTGTATATGATCCATAAAACTTAAAAGGGTGTCCACTTATAAACGTACCGGCTGATATGCCCTGCACTGACCTGACGTAACGCATGCGTGTAATTATGAAGTGTAATATACTTAAAGGTTAAATATGTTGATCGTGATATTAATATATAACGTTACACTGAAACGGTAATTCTCTTTTCGAATTTGTAAAAATTAAAATTAAATATCTCACAGCTATAACAGATAGACATATTCGGTGAGCGGCTTTTATTTCATCTGTCATTCTAAGCCCTAAGGAGAGCCTCACCCCACCCCATAAAATTAAGAAAGGTGTGAGGGAAATGTATCTAGTTTTATGTTAAGATTACCGCCATCTTTGATGTAACCCCATGTGGTCCTGACCAACAAAGACAGAAAAGCAGGGAAACCTGACAGCAGGTTCTTCAGTCTGTATTTATCAACTAAACTATACATGCTACTTGTTCAATACATTTCAGTCTCTTTGATTGTATCGCTGTAACAATATATTATTGCTACAAATTGATCTCATTAATACAGCAGTAGCAATAGCAGTGTCATCAGCGCTACCATCTTGAGACCGCCCGCTGCCATTTTGTGTAAGTGTAATTGATCGAATTGCGCGGTCTTAAAGAACACGACAGAGTTCGCTTAAATCGATGATGACGCAATAAAAACAGACTGGCTCTACGGACGGTTTAATGGCAGGGGAAACACGAGACTTTCAAGAATGCGCGACGCTGTGAAGTTCCATGAGTTTGATCCCCACCACAAATAAGGATATATTTAGATAATGATAAGACTGCCTCTGTGGTCTAGTTATCAGAGTTGCTGGCTACAGATTCAGAGGTCACGGGTTCAATTCCCGTCGCTACCAGTTTTTCTGAGAAGTAGTGGGTCTGGAAAGGGTCCACTCAGCCTCGTGTAGATAATTGAGGAATTATTTCAAGGAAATAGAGGCTCCGGTCTAGAAAACCGAAATTGACAGCTGCGGGGATCCGTTGCGCTGACCACGCGACACCCTCTGTCGGCAAAAGTTGGTACCAACTTCGCCGACAAGATGCGGTCGCTCGGTCGGTATAGTTCGCTTGCGGGCTACAGGCCACGGAGTTTGTTTTTTTCTTGTTTGTCATGACACCATTTAGTTCGGTACGTGGCCACCAACGTTTGTGGATAAAAGTAGGGGAAAATTTGGTCCAGTGCTTAATTAATTAAGCATCACACCATGAAGATATACGGGAGTGTGGAGGTATAGCTCGCCGGTCACGGTAGCCGAGCGGTCTAAGGCATGCACTGTCTCCGCTCGCTCGGAAGCCGGGATCGTGGGTTCGAATCCCACTCAGGGGATTTACTCAGTGAGTAAATCAGTGAGTGTTGTTATAGCTGATTGCAGTTACGGGTTATAAGCGTTCAATAATTCACTTACCAATCTAGACCCCGTGACACGTAGGGTAACCGTCGAAATTGTACGAAGTGTGCAGTATAGTGCTACTTAACAAAACAAACAATGAAGCCGTATCAAAGTACAGTAGAAAAGATGCAGTAATGCGTTGACAAGTGGCGCTAAACTAGACCTGAAGCCGCCGAAACAAGTCAGCAGTTCAGAAATAGCACGGATAAGCGACTGTAGACACGTGACTTATAACTGCAGCTTGCTCGACATATTAACACGTTTGATGTGAATGTGTACACCTCAGTCGGTACAGCAACAAGGCTACAGGCTGGACGAGGGTTAAGAAATTGGTTTCTTCTCCGTAGAGACATGACCTCCCCACCCCTTCCTATGTAACAGGTACCGGGGTTTGTTTCCCTGGGGGTAAAGCGTCAGAAACGTGAGGCTGACTAATCACCTCTACCTAATGTCGAGGTTAGAGATTACGGAGCTATAAATCCACTCTCCCACGGGTCTTCATGGCGTGGTGCTTAATTAATTAAGCAACGGATAACTCTACTTTCGTCCCTGTGCTTAAATAATTGAGCACTACGCCATGAAGGAGTATGGGGGAGTGGATCTATAGATCCACGTATTCTTGAACTCGGCACTAGTTGGAGGTGAGTGGTCAGCTTCATGCTTCGCCGGCTTTACTCCCGGTTGGTCGGTTGGTCGGTTAGTCGGTTGGTAGGTCAGTCCGTCGGTCTGCCGTTCTTTCGAGTGAAAAGTTTAGCATAAATCGATGTAGATGATACCTTGGGTGGTTACTGATCATCATCATCATCATCATCATTAGCACTACAACCCTTTGTGGTTCTTGGCCTGCACTAAAATCTTTCTCCGGTTATCCCGCTCTTGTGTCTTTTGCTCTCCAATTAACCACACACAGGTTCCTCAGATCATTGTCCACACCAGCCATCCATCTCATTCTTGGTCTACCTTTATTCATTTTCCCATTCGATTTTATATTTATTAATCTTTTATAAAATTTCTTAATTTTCTCTCCTTATGACGTGTTCTGCCCATGCGTAAATATATTAGGCATGTTAAGTTACTGATAATGCAGATGCCATGTAAATGCACATAATACATAATTTAACATTAAACGTATTTTAAATATATCCCTCTGCATGTTTGGGTTGTTTATGGTTATCAACAGAATGCATTCTACCATACAGATTAAAGTATTGAATCGACGACGCAAATTCGATATTAATCGAGAATGCATTTCGATATTAAATAAAATCGACGTTACGTCTTAATCGATAATGTAGCTTTATTGTTCTTTATAGCAAATCGAAACAAATTTAAGGATTAATACACGATGGTAAGCTGGATATAAATAGGCGTAAATGAAACCTGAAAATATAAGGAACTCTATACAAAAAATATATACATAAATGGACAGCAAATGTGAAATATGTTATAGAGTAATGTCGATATAAATCGAAAGACGTGAAATCATAAATATATACATAATTGATGACATAAGTGAGATGTAGAGTGACCTATAAGAAAAATATTAGTAATTATTTATCAATAATATAATATTACGTGTATTTTACATTATTTGAGTTATTAAAATACACCTTTTTCTAACTTTCTATCCTTCTCTATGTGGAAACATCACAT